CACCCCAGATGACGGTGGCTGGGCTCAGTATGGTGTCGGTCTGGGCTGAGGGTGGAGCCGTAACAGGCAGGGTGTACCGTAACTACTCTCCAGCAGACATCCTAAGCCCCTCGCTTTTAAATGATGTGCAGGCTTATGGCTTGGGTCAGCCTTCTCGAAACCATCAAGTTGGCCTGAACCCTTAAATCTTTAATCCTTTCAAAACCCTTCGAAGCCTTTACCAAGGTGCACACCTGTGCTCCGACTCCAGAAAAGCCCAATCAACACCGAGGAAGCCCCGACGTCTTTGCGCACACGCTACAGTTCACGGGGGACGCCGACAGCCTCCGAGGGGGTGAGAAGGTGACATTTGCGCCTCGGCTAGTGGCTTCAAGTGTTATAAGTTGGATATAGGTGTCTGAATAATTGGGAGTAGCACGAGACTCTATACTGCCTATTCTGGTGAATCAGGGCCCCCTATATGCCTATGTATCCCGCTTTTGACTCATCAGTCCCCTACACTGGGGTCACGGAGTTGGCAAAGCCCAGACCCCTTGGGAGGATCTAGAAAATAAATCCCCTAATTTGGGGCCGTATACTAAGGGTACTCGGGGGTCTGGGAGGTACCCTAAACCTTAAACCCTAAACCCTAAACCTGTGCTGAGGAGGGAGCTTTGACCCCAAGCCAAACAGCTTCGACCCTAGACGACGCAACCCACACTGCTCTTCCCTTAGCCCAAAACCGTAAACCTTATACGGTTTAGGGTTAAAAACCTTAAAATCCACTACCCCTATTTTCGGAAACTCCCAACTCCCAAACCAACCCAATAGCCTTCAGGACACGGAGTGGGACGAACGCAAGCAGAAGACCCGGGCCGTTACGTGGCAGATTGACTTCTCCGCATCCTCGGTGCCCATGCGCACTTCGGCTGGACTTGGGGGTCAGTTTAGGCATAGTTCCATACTTGGAGGTTCATGGCTAGTTAGGCTAGTTATAGGTAGGGTTACAAGTCCCCGAACTACATGAGTTATAAGTATAGTCAGTCAGTTTAGGCATAGTGCCACAGGGGTTCCTTACACGCTCCTCCAGGACTTTAACAATCCGAACAGGGTTTCGGTGCGCATTTCATTGTAGTTATAATGGAGAACCCTTAGGGTCTAGGGGCTTGGGGCTTGGGGCGTAGGCCTCCGGGTGTGTGGTGTAGTAGTGGTTTGACTCATCCTCCTGAGTCCGGATGCAAGTTCTAATCCGCGTGACTGGAGTTTCTTCCCATTCAACTTACCTTTGGTTAGTAGGGAATGGAAGAATGGTAGTAATAGTAGTTATAATTGTACCCCATTCCTCCATGCCCTACTAACCCAGGGTAAGTCAACAGCTCTACCCTGAAGTCTAAACCCTGGGCCCTGATACCCCAAACCCTGCAACCCTACTTGTAGGATCGTGGGACTTAGTAAGTATGGTTGTGAGTACCTTAATTGGGTTATAAGTAATTATAAGTATAGTTGCCCTAATAACAACCTTAGTTACTAGGTCCCATGATCCTTCAAGCACTTTCGGCCAACAGCCCACGAAGCGAGGAACGGGCCGGCTACAGAGGTTTTTTGCCGAAAAGGCTGTGCACAGGGAGCGATGTAGGGCTTGGGCTTGGGCTTTAGGGTGTGGCGGGCTTTGCTAGGCTACTAAGGTGAACCTGGGGTCACAAGGGTGATAGGGTTAGGGTTATCAGAAAGACTTGCTTTTGGGGTTATTAGGACTATTGAGGTGATTCGGGGTCATTCGGGTAGGTGGAGAGGTGGGGCTTTTTGCAGCACAACCGTCGGGGTATGGAAGATACGGTTAGCTCTATAGGTTGATAGGTACCTGCTTCCGGGCCAGGTTGTGCTTTGATGGTAGAGTTTTGGAGTCCAGGTTTTAAGGGTTTAGGGTTTAGGGTGCAGGTTACAAGACAAGGGCTGTCAAGAGCCCTGAACCCTGAACCCTAACACCCTAAACCCCTAAACCCCTAAACCCAAAACCTTCAAAAGCCCTGGACCCTGAATCCCACACCGCAACATCCCAAAACGACGCTGAGCCGAAAGCCCGAAGTGGCTTGAGGTTGGGACTCTGAGATATTTTTGTGGTTTGAGGCTCCAGAGACTCCAATAGCTCTTAATTAAGGCATATTCCGCAACTCATAATCGGGATCCTACTATAATCTAAGGTATACTCCTTAATTGAGGGATATTGGAGTCACCTAAACCCTAAACCCTATAGATCCCTTAACTTACTGGCTGTTAAGCGGGAATGGGGGAATGATGCATTGAAGGCTTAAATTTGTTTATGTTGATGGTTGGCCAAAAAACTGATGCAACACGTAAGAAATGCGAGTGATTTCGAGCACATGCGTGCGGTTCGAAAACGCCAAAAAGCTTTACATATCTTGAAATCCAACTACAGCTTCCGAAAATCGAAAATCAGGTTGTCGAAAAGCAGCCGAAACGTGTTCGAGATTTATTATTTCATTATGCTGCAAATGCAAATGGACATGAGATTTCGTATATACACGTGTAAAACTGTGTCCAAAGCTTTTGCACTTCGCATTGAAAACAGCAGCATGTTTCTAGCTTTCTGCTTTCGTCTCAATACAGTTGAATGAACCTATCACATTTGCCTTCACAATCTCAGTTTTTCGAGTGTCGTGAAACGAAAACTTGTGAAAACCTTGAAAACATACGGAAGTTACCCAACATACTTCGTGGTTGATTTTGCAGAACACCGAAACGAACCAGCGATTTGAAGAATATCATTCTTTTTGTTTTGTTTGTCTGCGTCTCCTCAACATAACAAGGCTGGGTGTCGTCATTGTCAGGTCCTGAAGCTTGAATGCAGGCCACATCACCGCGCACGTGCAAAGGAACGGCACGCATGATAGAGTGCGAAGATGATGCACTGAACTAGTGCAAGCAGTGGAGCTCTGAACAAGCGCTCCCTGCAGCCCTTGCAAAACACTGAGAATGTGCATCAGCAAAGCCAAGTGCAAACAATCAAAGAGCACTGAAATAAGTGCAAACAAACAAAGAGCACTGGCAAAGTGCAAACAAACATAACAAGGAGCACTGAAACAAGTGCAAACAAACAAAGAGCACTGAAAAAGTGCAACAAACATAAGAAGGAGCACTGAAAAAGTGCAACAAACATAAGAAGGAGCACTGAAAAAGTGCAAACAAACATAACAAGGAGCACTGAAAAAGTGCAAACCAAAGAGCACTGAACAAGTGCCAAAAGAAAGCACTGAGCAAGTGCAACATGAAAGCACTGAAGAAGTGCAGCATGAAAGCACTGAAGAAGTGCAGCATGAAAGCACTGAAGAAGTGCAAAAAAAGCACTGAACAAGTGCAGTAAGAAAGCACTGGAATAGTGCAGGGCCACAGTCGGCCAAAGCACTGGGAAAGTGGAACAACCTCATTGGCATAGATCCAATCCTCGGCCAGTCCTCCACAGGACAATGAAGTGGCGACGAGCTGCACTTCCTGCAGAGAAGGCGCGCCGCTAGGGTTCAGTTGGACTCGATAACTGTAACTTCTTTGCTAGGTTTATTAAAGTTTTGCAAAGTGTCAAATTGTGGTTTCGGCTGGAGGGTTGGGTATCTCTCTCTGTCTCTCTCTCGCTGTCGCTCTCTCTCGCTCACTCGCTCTCGCTCGTTCGCTCTGTGACACCCGCGATTCTTTCTTGAATGAACTGCAGCAATTTAGGCCGCAGGCTTGTCGGTTTAGGGGTAGGTAAGACTCCTGAACCACATAATGCCTACGGCTGCAATGCAGCCGCGGAAACCTGAGAAAGTAAGGGCATGGTGAGCTTTCTGATTCGGGGCCAACATTGCCTTTGACATTACCATTGAAGGCTTTACAACTTTAGAACTTTCGGGCTTTCGGGGTTGAAGGTTTTGATCAAGTCGGTCCTCCACTGTCGCGACCTATTCCTACTACGGGGCAGGTCGCTCGTCCTTGCGCTGCTCGTGCTGCTCCACCAAAGGTTCGAGCCTGAGTACTTGATCTTTCAGGTTCGAATCTACAGGGATTGCCGTCCGGGGTATCACCTGGAGCCCGGGATTTCAGGATTTTGGGGTTGATGTTGGTCCTCCTGCCAACGACATACGTTACAGCACTGCTGCTTGTCCTGTCCTACTACTTACACCGGCTGCTGCTATTATCAGTACCAGTGCCAAATACAAGTACACTCTGCAAAGACGGATCTCAAATGTGTTGATTCTGCTGCTGTTGCTGCTGCTGCAGCCTACATAGTCATAATACTGCATGACGACGGTAATGGCATCATTACTTCTTAGCTGACAGTGGCAATGCCGCCTCTCTTTTTCCTTCCTCAGCCCAACCGTGGCTTCTGGGTCGGCGGGCCGTCCTGCGTTGCATCACTCGGCTAGTTTGCAGATCACCAGTTTCTGCTTCTGACAACTAGATTTGGGCTCCTCCCGATGCCAAATGTTGATGCTCTCCGCAGCAGTCTTCGCAACAGCCTGGACAGCTGGATGTGCCACACAACAAGCGTTTAATACCGTCACATGAGCTCTCGGCAAGTCGATGAGCTTCCCGATCACGTGCACGTGGTGCCATCACCATCGGAGCCTGTTGATACTTATGAATTCTGAACATCCGTGGCTGCTGAGCCTGCGAATAATGATACTGGGGCTTCCGGCGCCCGTGTCGGGATCAGTCACCCGCTCCGAAGTAGCAACCAGAGGGTCCTAAGACAACGGGAAATGGTGGCAGCGAAGAGGTTGATGCGTTCAAGGGTCAACGTTGCGAGCCTTCGGCGACTCACTGTCATCAGACATCTCAGCTGCCTGAAATTAGTGTTACAATCAAAGCATCCTGGCCAAAACATGAACACTTCACCCTGAGTGCTTGGCCGGCATCTCCTCGGCGCTGCTCTTTCCATGGCCCTGCACGAACGAACAGGCAACCCTCCTGGAAACAGGTTTGCTGCTCAGTCTGTGGCCTTCGACCACTTGGGAACGAGTTTGCTCTCAGCCTGGCCAGGGTGGCGTCTCTTCGAGCTTGAAAGGCCAAAGGTCACGGGCCTTCTTGGGCGGGGTTACTGGTCGTCGACGGTCAACAGCATCCAAAGTAGTCCGAAGCTGGCCCGTGGCCTCACAAAGCCAAGCTTTGCTCATTGATGCTTCCGCGATGCTGTTGCATAGTGTTTCTGAGGTTTCCACGGGTGGCGGCGGTGGGGGGGGGTCCTGCGGCATTGATGGTGTCGGGCGAAGCGCCTGCAAGGGCCCACTTTTGATGAGAGATGACAATCACGTTCACTGAAAGCTCCTGCCTCTGGGGCAATAGAGGGAGGAAGGAAGCCGAATCCAGGCATCATCGTCGGCATTGGTCTGGACGCCTTCACATTAATTTATTATCTACCTGATGGCAGCAGTTTTCGAATCTTGCCTGCGGCACTCCGCCGATGAAGCAAGGGCCGGCTGCCGCAGCAGCCGCCGGCAGCGTCGGAGCCTTCAATATGACCAGGTCAATGCTTCAACGAACGCATCAAATTATAACAGTCCTGCCTGTGTCAAGCCGAAAGGGGGAAGCCCTGCTGACATGGGAACGACGACCTCGGCTTGTGGTGATCTATAACATTGTCGGATCAAGTAAATGCCAAGCTTTCACGAGAAACTCGCGTGAGGCCCCAACTGGTGGCTTTGGCATGGAGACACGCAGCTCTCTCATCTCCGTCTCCAGCCGCTCCAGCTTTTCCGCCATGCGAATCTCACTGGCCTCGCATCGCTCCTCTGCCAAAGTCGCAGCCTGTAGCTCCTCCTGCACACCCTCTTTTGCGAAGTCTGAGGCCTGTAGCTCCTCCTGCAAAGCCTCCTTGGCGAAGTCTGCAGCCTCTTTCATGAGCTCTGCAGCCGCCAGCTTCTCTTGCACGCGGGACTCGCCGGTCTCCATGAGCTCTGCAGCCGCCAGCTCCTCCTTGACGGCTTTCATCTGCTTCTCCTCCCTGAAGAGCTTGCTCTTCGTGGCCCGCCTCCGCTGCTCATTCTGCTCCTCCGTGTTCCGTGCATTCAGGAGCTGAGCCGCCGTCTCCTCGCCATGTCTCTGCACGGAACTTTCCTCGCTCCGTGCATTCAGGAGCTGAGCTGCAGTCTCCTCGCCGTTTCTCAGAGCTGCCCGCTCCTCGTTCCGAAGCTGAACCCACTCCGGTCGCCAGTCCTGCCTCCTTTGCTGGCTCCAGCCCCGGTTTTGCCGCTCCCACTCATCATCATCCTCCCAAAAATCCCAGTAATCGTCCAGGCCTTTCTTGCCTTTGTACCCATACCCACCATCATAGTAGCCGCCGGAGCCTCCTTTACCATAGCCACCGTATTTGCCATAGCCTCCTTTGCGACCATGGCCTCCTTTCCCCATGGCCTTCTTCAGACTGGTGTCCTCGTAGTCTTGTTGCTAATATCTAGTCAGTCTAGTCTTCTTACTAGTAGCCATCGGTGGTTTCTATTGCTGCTTCGAGGGTCGAGGGACTTAGTTAGGTAGTAAGTACACGTATAGGTACCTTAAAGGGAATCTTAAATGGGGTTATGATACTTATAGTCTCCCGAACAACTACTCACTAAGTTCCCCGAACCCTCCAAGTAAGCACCTTCTGCAAGCTACGTGATTGTCGCCCCAGTTGTGTAAGAAGTACGATGCTGTGTATCAATACGACTGGTCTATTGATTTATCATTGCATCAATCAAGAAGTAGAGGCTCGAGAGCTGAGTCAGGACTCTTGTGACGTGCCAAGCCGAATGCAGCTTGAAACGAGAATTGAAGTCATACTCCAGCACTTATCCAGCATGCCAAGCAGTGCCCTGATCAAGACCGGAGCTGCATGCAGCTCAGGCTGCGGCTTTGGTGAGAACGTCTTGAATGTCCTCATGTCCCGACCTGAGATAAAAGACTTTGAGATCTTGATCACTGTCACAGCTATGTTTTCCCTGTAGCTCACGCGGCGGCTGCCGGTTGCAACTGTTCGGTGCGTTGTCACAGCCTGAAACACGACAGTTTGCATTCTCGCCTGCACAGTCACTTGACGAAGAGTACAGAGTGAAACTGATGCTGGCAAGAGCTAATTTGTACTTCATCAGATTGGGTATCCATGTGGATGTTATCAGATTGGGCTTCCACGTGGTGGACGTCTCGTAAACCCAAATTTTCGAGACATGTGCCTGTGGTTTTCGAGACAAAGCTGATAATGGCTCGACAACTGACCCTTGACAGGCTAGCCTAGCTATCATTGTAGTGCCCCATGCCAGCCAAGACGAACAAACAGAAGAAGGCGGCCATCTATGCCAGGATTAGCTCTACCTCCCAGAAAGACGGGGCGGGAATATCACGTCAGAATGCGAGGTGCAAGGCTACATGCAAGTCGATTGGTGCCAAAGTGGCTTTGGAAGTGTCCGAAGTCGTCTCCGGGTCCCTGCCATTGAAACAGCGCAAGATCTTCAACGAACTCATGGAGAAATGCAAGGACAAGGGTGTCTCCAATATCATTGTCGAGGGCACCCGAGCGTTTTCGCGCAATGCCCAAGTGTCCGAGACAATCTACGAGAGAAGCAAGGAACTGGGGCTCAACATCATCCCGGTGGATGTCCCAGACTTGTTGGAACACAACCCTAACCCTGCGCAAAAGTTCTTGCGGCGAGTCATGTTCTCGTACACGGAACTGGAGAAGGATATGGCAGTGCAGCGGTTGCAACATGGGTGGAACCGAAAGCTCACGGAGGCAAAGAAGAATCACAGAACAGGACAATGCAAAGCGCGCCTCAACCAATCTGGCGACGTCAAGATCAATGGACGCAAAAGCATCGTGGAAACCAAGAGCCTCAGCGGCAAGCAACGAAAGCAACTCCTTGCAAAGACCAAACTCTACTTCAATGGCGACGTGACGGTCAGGGAGCTCGCAAAGCAATTCTCTCGGGTCATGAAATTGACAAAGGCAGGGCCCAACGTTCCTTTTTTCGGCCCCACGTCATGGTAAGATAGCTAAACCCTGTCAGGTGATGGCAGCAGAAACTGCTCGTCGCACAGCTCATTCTCTACAGAAGAAGTGAGCTTCGCTTGAATTGCTTCTCCCTGTGCTGTGTTTCGAGACTTGGCTACGTCCTTAAGCCCATTAGAATTTTGACACTCGCACTTGGAGAGAAGACTAAGCTCCTAGATAATTACGAATTTAGTTGCGGCCTGTAGCCCGGAGCATTGCTCTCAAGATCCTGCCAAGCATGGGCACAGGGATGGCGTTGCCAGCCAGGAGTCGCAAATGCCTCTCAGACACGACGTTCATGGGGATTTCCTCCGGCAGAACACCCATGAAACGAGTAATCTCGTTGGTGTTCATCATGCGATTTTTCCAACTCAGCCAGAACCCCCCCAAACCAGCACGAGCGCGGGTCAAAGTTGGGCACAAGTCCTTGCAAACCTTGGGTTTGCGAGACATGGCGCACGACACGTCGATGAAGTAGTGGCTCTGTAGTGGATCGTCTCCATGTTCCATGACAATGTTCTCGATGGCAGCTTTCAGCTGGTGCCTTGCGCCTTTCTGTCGAGGCCACACGATGCGGTCCTGCTCATCATCTGCGTCCAGCAGGTCAGTGACGGTAAAGCCGGAGGCCTGGAACGTGGAGCTTTTTAACAGCGGTAGTTTACTCTATTGGTCGCTCAAACCCTTGCTTTGTTCCAAGTCAGACAGGGGGGGAGCAGAGGGCAGGGGAGGGGGGACGAGGGGAGGGAGAGGGGAGGGGGGGAAGGAGGGGGGAAGGGGGAGGGAGGGGGAAGGGGGAGGGGAAGGGGAGGGGATCGGAGCAGTGTGGGGGTGTACAATGTCCAGCAGTTACGGCCAAAATGCATTTTGCCAGATGCTGTCAACATCTGGCAAAATGCAATTTGGCCAGTTCGGAGGCCTAGTTGAGGGGAGAGGGCAGGGGAGCCGCACCACCCAACCCTTGGAATGAAATTGGTCATCGAAAAACACAAGTTGCTGCCACGAAGCTGTTTTCTTGGGCCACTGCATAGCTTCTTGAAGATGCGAGCGCCGAATCCCGACAATGAACAGCCGTTGACGACGCTGTGGCAGACCATGGTCTGCACAGTTCAGAATGGACCAGGATAGTTCATAAGCGTTCAAATCCATCAGGGTTTTCATGATGTCATAGAAACAGTCACGATGTCTGTAGACTAAATCCGGAACGTTCTCCAGAATAAACATTTCCGGAACGTGGCCGGCTATCCATTGGAGGATCCTTGCCGCAATTCTCCCATCCGAAGAACTGGTGCCTGGTCCTGCAGCATCCTTGCTAAAGGGTTGACATGGAAACCCTGCAACGAACAGCTCAACGGTTGGACTTCCCAAGAAATCGTCCGACCACACGTTGCCGTAGGTCTTCTGAGAGGCTCCGTGCGCAGACTGATGAACAGTACGTGCATGAGAACATGTGTCGCAGCTGAAAACTGAAGTGAAGTCGACATTCATGTGTCTGAGGGCGAACAGCTCACTTCCCCAACCAGAGCAAGCACTCCCGACCAAAAGTCCAGAACGTTTCGGAGCAAGTGTACGCCCCACAGACAGGCAGCCAGGATGCTGTGACAACAACAGTGTCGTCGCGTCTTGCTGCTCCTTTCCTTTGGACATCCTACGGAACTTACCCTTGTACTTCCGTGGCTGCTCGGTTGCTTCTCTTTTTCTGCGCCTTTGCGCTGAAAACAACTCGCCGACTCCAGTGACAGCCTTGCACGCCATGACCGGCAGCCGAAGGAGTCCGGTCTGACGGCACACTAGGTCACCACTAACGTTTGTACAGTGCAGGTGATTAAGCAATGAATCAGAGAATCAGGAACCATGTTACAGTTGCTCCTTTAACAAGAACAGCCACTGAAAAAACGGCTGCGCACAGAGCTGGTGAATTGTAACAGTCGAGTCTGCCCACAACTGATGAATCAGCAGCCCCCTCACGTCACACACTCACTCGAAGCCCATTTCACAAGCTTTGCAGGACGTCTGCAACGAGTCCCCTGTGCGATGGACGAGAGCCATGAGAACCATTGAATGGTCTGCAAAAGGACGTGAGCGACTGACATGAAGGGCAGGTTTTTTGATAACCAATGCGGAATATCACAACCAACACCCCCTCTTAGTTGTAGAAGGTTTTGATGCTCACAGCCGGACTGAGGGTTTAGAGACTACCAAAGCCGATATGCCCGCCGCTCACGTATGTTCGAGGCCTGCTGTGAAACTGTACGATAGTCTGCAGCAGGACTTATGCTCGCTTTCACAGTCAGCTGTGAGACTGCACGACAAGCATCAATCAAAAGAACCCGGCCAGCAGAAGCTTCACCCGCTGGCTGCCATCAACTTCTCCAGCAACTTGGCCTTGGCGTCGGACCCCTGGGAGGCATTGCCCGCTTTGCGGCCTGCCTGCTTCGGTGCCGCCGCCTTTGCTTTCGCATCCTTCGGATCTGGCAGAGCCTTCTCAACACTCTCCGTCTCTTCAGGCTCACCCATAGCATCATCGTCATCTGCTCCATTCTTGGCAGTCTTGGACCCTCGTGGCTTTTTTCCTGACTTCGCGGCCGCCGCGGGAGGAGGCTTGCGCTTGGTGTTCTTGAGGTTCAGCAGCTTGCACCTGAATGGCATGTTAAGGGAATGTTCTTCACTCTAAGTGGTTTTGCTTAAGCACCCGCCGTGAAACAAGAAAAAACACTCTGAAGCAACGCAGTCCAAAGCACAAAGCCGGCTGGTGATGCGGGCTGGTCTCATCTAAGAACATCGCCCACAAGCACTTCATGATCTTCGTCTTCAATGCCTGGCGGTGCTCCTCCGTCCAGCAGGCAACCACGATCGGCACTCGCCTCTCTAGACACACGCAGGGCAGCAGGTGATCCAAGCACGTGGCCGCTATGACAACCTGGGCATCCATTGCATGCAGAAGCTCTTCCCACACCTGCTTTCCTGTGAAATGCCACGCCATCGGCTCGAGTCCGTCTTCAAATTTCGGTTTCGGGAGCGGGTCCGCAGCAGCTCCTCCGGTCAAGATTTTACCGTTGGTGCCGAGCATCTTGCGCTTCAGGGCGGGGTCCACTCTCCAGCATTCGCTGTCAAGGAAACTTGGTGCCTTAAAGTACCCCAATAGTGTGCCGTGTGTCGTGGCGTCCGGGAGATAGAGCCTCGCCTTGTTTTCTATCTCCAAGGGCCCACCAGTGCACATCACGTGGAGGTTCTCGCTTTGATTGATGAAACCCTTCACCCGTTCCTTTCTGTCCCCTAAGCTTTTCTGGGTCGTCAGAATCACGAACTTTTGGCTTTCTTTTGGAAAGAGTTTTCCATCCAAGTCCAAGAATGCGCTCTGAATTTGGCCTTCGTTCCCGAATTTGCCTCCATCCATCACGCAAACCTGGGAGTCTCTTCAATAACCCGCGAACCGTTCTGAAACCTAGCACATGTTCAACCGCTGAGGCGAGATGCGAGGTGCTGGGGCGGAAGGGCCCCTCCATGCGTCTTGCCCTCGTCGTCGAACGAACGGATCACCGCATGGACCCATTTCGTGAGGTCCTTCGGCTTGAACGGGGGCTGCCTCGTGTTCGGGTGACTTGAGGCTTCGCCAGCCGTCTTGCAGTCGTAGATGAGAATCTTGTTCCCCGACGACTTCTCGATCGTGGCCTGCACGATCGTCATCTCCTTCATGTTCTCTGCCAGCGTGGTGCTGGAGCTGTCATTCAAGATGAAGCTGACCCACTGGCTGAAAATCTCCTCTAAGTACTCCTGCCACTGGCTCAACTCACCCTCAACGTCGAGCTTCTGCTGCTCCGGTGTCACTAGCTCACCCAGTGGCACAGTGAAAGACTTGTCCATAGTCTCAGGCTCGGCGTCCTCGATCTTCTTGCTGGGTGCCTGCGGGCCGCACTCCTTCTGGAAGCAAGCCTCGAGCTCATCCAAAGCATCTTTGAGAGTCTGGACGGCCTGGATGACATCCTTGGGGTCCATCGTGTTCTTGATGGCCTGCTTGAGACACTGGTCCATGCCCTGGGAATAGATTGCATTCTTGACGAACTGAATCAGCAGCCTGGTGCTCCCGGCTTTGAGGCCCATCCACTGCGTGTCCACCTGTTTGACCACGAATCAAAACAAATGCGTGATATGTGCTTAGCGTGCAAACAACACACGATTGTATTTGTCTGGCTATGTCGCTATGCTCCACTCCCACCTTCATTCCGGCAGCACCACAGCACTTCCGGTAGGACTCCGGAGTAAGCAGCTGACTCAACATTGCCCGCTGCTCTTCACCAAACCCGCGGCTTACAAGCCACGTGTTCAAGTACTCCAGCAGCATCCTCTTGAACAGAAACAAGTGCACGATGCCCTTCCCCTTCTTGTTGCCGAGATTTCGGCTGCTGAAATCAGCAGCCGTCATGCCGAGGAACTTCAGGCAGTGTGTCATCATGTCCAGAACCCAGAGAATGTCTTCTCTGGTCTTGGTGCAGCTGACGACTGCATCCAACGCATTGATGCTGTTCAGCGGGTTTTTCTTGCCATACTCCCCTTCCATCCACATCACAACATTTCGCAGATCTTTATCAGACAGGATGTTGTTCTGAATCTTCACGGCATTCTGAATCCATGTAGGCGAGATCTCTTCCGTATACTTACTGGAGATTTCGATGGCATGTGCATTCCAAGTGGTGCAGAGTTCTTCTGCCGTCATTGAGTGCCCCATGCCCTTCTCCTTCCTGAGCTTGAACTCCATGATCTCTTGAATTGACTGGATGCAACTCCGCACAACCGCCTCGTTGTCCACAATCACAGCTCGGCGGAGGTTCACCGACTTGAAGTACTGATCGTCTTCCGTGGGCAGCGGGATGAACTCCATGTCGACTGTGAGGAGTGTTTTGCGCCACTGCTTCAACTCCTCGTCCGTTGCCCCCGCCTCGATCCTTCTGGTGATTGCCATGAGCAGGGCTGCCTCCTGCTCTTCCGGGCTCACTCGCTTTAAAGCACCGAACTGCTTCTGCAGGGTAGCTGCGGTGAGCTTGGAGCTTGGCAAAGCAACGACGATCCTGCAGAGCAGGCGTGATCAAAAAACTTTTCAGCTTAGTCAGGATGTGTGTATTTGAACAGTCAGCCGTGATCAACGATGATCAAACCACGCCCCATATTAATCATTCGACTACCTGCCTCCATGGGAACGGTGCTGGCCCCTTGCTGAAGTTGAACTTACATACCTCTTCCACGGCCTTCATGTTCGTAAAGACGTGGCTGCAAGGTCGCCATTTGAAATTGATCCAGAACAAGTTGCCAGCACCTTGGTAGGTGCCACAGGCCTTCATTGCACGGTCGAAGTCAGCAGCATCGTAGCAAGCCTGGGCCACCAGAATAATGGGAAGGCTTCAGGCTTTCGAATCTTTAGGGGGAAAATCATTCCTGGACGTCGCTCATCATTCCAAGACGTTCCCAGCCATTTCGGAGGGCGCCTGTCCTAAGAGCGGGGGTATGACCCCCACTCTTAGGACAAGGGGGTGCGCACCCCATTGTCCTAATTCTGGTTGACCTGCAAAACCCGAATTGTCCTAAGAATGGGGGTATGACCCCCGCCGTTAGGACAATTCGGGTTTTGCAGGTCAACCAGAATTAGGACAATGGGGTGCGCACCCCCTTGTCCTAAGAGTGGGGGTCAGACCCCCGCTCTTAGGACAGCAACCCCCAAAATTTCTTTTCGAATACGTGTCAGCTCAACAGGAGAGCATCAGAATCGTCCCTCCCCACAAATGCGCAGGTGCCCATTTCGCCACCCCACTGACTTACTGAGCCACCCAGGACCCGAAACCGAACCCGAGTAAAGGCCCTTACCTGGTTTGAAACCGAAACCGATAAAGATGGTTCTGGCTGGAATGAGCCTGCCTCTACACGCCCGGATCTCCGCTCCAAAGTGGCGGTTTGTGCACACGAACTTTTCCGGGACCTGAACGTACATGCGTAACAAGGAAGGCTGCTGGCCTTACACACCACTGAAAAGAGACCCAGCAAATGATCTTCACGTTGAGTGGTGTCACCTGCCTGTTTGCTGCATGGTACGCTTGGGCTAGATGGTATTTCATTTCTTTTGACTTTCGTGGAATGGTAACACAAGCTGGGGAAGTACCACATGCGTTGGGGGGCTGGTGTTGGGGGCTGGGCGGCTGGGTCGGTGGCCTCAAGACCGCCACGAGGTTATGTCATCGTGAAAGTACACCGAACACCGAAAGGTGAATGTTACGCAGTGGCATGCATGTGGAGAGAAAAAGTGTGATTATAGGTAGCAATGAAAATGAAAACGAGCACACCCAAACCGCGGCCATGCATGTGGAGAGAAATGCGGCTCGTTTTTGTGAGAACGAAAACGAGCCCACCCAGGCCCTACCCTATAATTTAATAGTCCAAGTTTGAAAACCAGAATGCGGCCTTTATGACCGGCACGACTGAGATTTGCAACTTCCGCGTCGCGAATGAAAACGCAACTGCGAAAAGATCAGATTAATATATGCTTCCCAGGAACCTTGCTTCCAGTGGTGGCAGCGTTGCCGTTGCCACCAGAGTGGATCCCAATTGGATCCGCCGTCAAGATGTCATCGAAGATGTGGTGGCCCATGATCGTCGTTATGAAGTGGTGCATGGCCTGCGTGTAGTCATCATTGACGTTGTCAGCCATCTCGGCCACCGGATCGAGAGCCGCGGCAGCTGCTGCAGCTGCAGCTGCTGCAGGTGCTGCCTTGGGAGCAGCTTTCTTCTTGGAACCGCCCATGTCCGGAGGGCCCGAAGAAACTCACGGAAAAGGCCTGGTAGGCTGGATGCTTAAGCCAGCTTTGCAGCCCACACCCCAGCTCACGGGATTGACTATCACACGCGCACCAGAAGACACAAAAGTGCGCTGAGTGCAAAAAGCCCTCAGTGTCCGGCTTGGTTTCCACGATGCTCTTGCCTTCGAGGCAGGCAGCGGAGGCAAGGGAGCGGCACGTAGTAGGTAGTGCTCTAGCAGCCATGTACCTATTTCGTCATCGTGACATGGCAGATCCCTGATACCTATCCGTAAGCATTGCAGCAGTCCCACTTGCTTTCCAGTCTGGCCTCCATCCACCGACATGGAACAGGCGTCCTGCGCCGACAGTTTCAATCTCTGGTAAAACTCCGATACTTGTAGGTTGCAAAGCATTGCCGGAATGCTGTAGTTGGGACTAGTTGGGACTAGTTGGGACTACATGTTGGAGGCAGAGGGGTTTTGAAGCGTGGTGGTGGTGGTGCACACACCCACTTTTTAAGTTCCGGGCCAGTCCCACACTCTCAAAGCAACTTTTGTCAAGTCTCGCTCCCCCGGACTGTTCATGCTGCAACTCCCGACAGGCTTATCCCGTCGGCGTCTGCTCCCCCACCATGGTGAAACACATACTGCGCAGGTCCATTTAAAGCTGCACTCACTTGTCCAAGGATCTGCCGGAACAGTTCACAGCCTGCTTCGCCAGCAGCTTTGCAAACCTGAACTTCATGGCTAAGCCATCGTAGTCAAACAAATCACGATGTTAGGCAGTCTTAGGGAGCAACATTTTCCAAGCAAGCCAAGACGCCCATCACCATCCAAAATGTTTTTCTCTTGCAAGGCAGCACACTCGGTCTGAGAGAACAAACCGAGAACAGACAACGGAGACTTGGAGGCCACTTTCGTGCTGGCCTCTGCAAAAGCCTCCAGACTGGCCAGCTCTCGCCACTTGCTCCCGTGATGGGAACAGGCAAAGCGAAGCACCTCTGCCAACCGGGGATGCTCTCGGCCAAAGCTCGCACTGACAAAGAGTTGCCGCTTGCTGTGAATCGCAGGTTGAAAGTTAAAGCAGACACCTTGCTGCCCATGTCGTCGAATGAACTCGTCGTTGCAAATACACGTCCCAAGCAAGAAAGCGCACCAATAACACTCGTCATGTGGATTGGATGGGTCCTTCTCAACAATGAAATCAGCATGCTCTGGGTCTCCCACAAGGCAATCCAAGTTCGGAGGGACCACTCCGGGCGCATAGTAGACATGCTTCGTGCACGGATTCGGTACTCGGACTGGGTTCAGGAGGTCTGCACGTCTCTTTCTCAACCGACCATTTTTGGCATCCTCTTTTTGCTGAGCATCCTTGAAAGCCTCCGCCACTTGCACGCAATCTTCATCGACCTCGCTTGCATGCAGCAAGGCATTGTCCAAGTAGGCGACAAGTTTGTTCTTGTACTGCTTGGTTTTCTGAAAAGCCTCCTCTGCAAGTACTTTATCACACATGAGGTGGGAAGTCATGCTGCGGGCCAAGCTCTGAACTTCATCAATCGATACCTCCGGCCGCTGCTGCACGGACTCTGAAAGGCTCTTGCTCTCCGCAGCCTTCCAGGCGGTTTCGGCTCCGACCTGAACCCAGAGTGACTCTAACGGTTGTCAACATAACCGACGCACCAAAGGAACCACATTAGCGAAACATATTTACCCGGTGGGAGTCTCCTTGACGCCCTTCATCTTGGGGACCCCAGCGTCGATCCTCTGGGTAGTCGTCGGTCTGGCTCGCGGCGGATTGAAGTATTTCAGCCAGACATCCACAGCCCTCCGTGTGATTTCGTGATCTGAGAACACAGTTTGTGGCAACTGCAGAACAGTCTCATCCAGTTCTGTGTCCAGCAGCATGTGATTCCTGGCAGGGGTGGCTGCGAAAACAGTTTTTATTAGCGAAGTCTTGGCATGGGGCATGAGCGTGTCCCCCCGGCCTCTCCGGTGTGCAGTGCCTCTGAATCTGGCTGAAACCTTGCTCGACGCCGGAGGTGGTCAGGCCACTGAAAGCCGCGTACCGTTGCACAACTTGGCGCAGAACGGCAGTGGGGTGGTTCCTCCGCACACTAGCCTGTTTGCGCTCGAGTCGCAAGATGGTCTGAACCCAGGCATCGACATTAGAGCAACCTTTGCGGTGTTCATACATCGCCATAGGACGAACATCCACAAACTCTGCCCGCAAAGAATCCTCATCCACCTGCACGGCTGGCCCCAACAACTCCAAATCTTAACTAGCTGAGGACAAATTCTAATTCTATCATATCAGCACGTAAGCACGTAGACCAAATGCTGTGGCAAAGCCTTCAAGATCTGTGCCAGGCGAGCCATGGATTGAGTTCGGTCGGCAAAGGCCTCTGAGCTTTTCATGGTCTTTGTGTCCAGATCGAAAATAGCAAAGCTCGACAGCAGATCGTAATCGGGGAACTCCGCCCTCAGAGTCTCACCTTGACTTTTCCAGCCCTGCCCAAAACTTAAACCGAACTCGGGCTTCTAGTCGGGTTTCCCAATGTGGCCGCACCGAAACATTTTAGAATGAGGCTTAACACAGAGCTCGGCCGCATGCCAAGTTCACAAACATCTGCAGTCTGTCGATGCATCGCTGCAGCATGTCGGCCGAGACAGTGCCCGGGCCACCCAAGCACCTAGGCCTGTCTTGTCCATCCATATAGGCTCGCTGCCGACGCAAGTACAGGAGCATTTGCTTCGTGTATCCATGCTCAACAACAGACCCTTCGATGAATAAGAAATGAAGTGTCTGCACGAGCGAGGTAATCTCCCAGTTGAGGGTGGCTGCATCGTAGTCTTCGGTGTCCAGCGACCTTGTCAGGCCAACGCAGGCAGAGGCAGCGTCACTCATCATAGCCATTAGAATCGCCTTTTCCTCGTTGAGGAAAGCCAAGAAGTCTCCTGCGTCGCGGCCCTGTTCCTCGCCCCGACGCTGAACACATATCCAACAGGCGGTGGAGATGAGAGCATCTAGAAAGATACACGCCCTGCCTAGCGGCTTGCTGTACGAGGCAAAACGGTTCTTCTGCCCTCGCATGTTGTGAATCCTGGCCCCGTCCACCGGCACATCTGAGGATTTAGCACAAAACCGAGCGAACACATCCGAGAACGTGTCAGAATGGTCAATTCGCTGGGTGATGGAATTGTGGTGGAGGATGACAGTGTCCATGACAAGGGTCATCTCAGCATCGGCTGCCCACGGTCTTTTGAGGACCCTGCGTGCATGGCAAAACAACAACAAGGTGCGATCTAAACTTAATCTGAACTTCCAACTTAGCCTGACAACGAATCCGCAACGAATTTGAAGCACATTAAACTGGCCTGACACTCGCGTGCGACTTGTCCTTCAGGACAGTCAAAAGATTTGGAAGCGTGTCGTTGCGGGCAAGACGCCCAGCACAGAATTCATTCGATGCGGCATCTGCACAATAAATCTCTATGCGGTCGTGTAGGCGCGCCAAGAGATCCGTGTCTAAAGACGTGGGGCCCGGACCTCCAGCACCCACCGTGCAAAAGCGATGCAGAATTGCGTCCAGCGTCGAATTGATGTTCTGTGCAAAGTGGCCGTCTTTGACATACTCATGCCCTAGCACTCCTTTGCAATGCCGAAGTTTCTCGCTGCATGCGCTGAACCTCACAAGCAGCTTGTTCTTGCGTGCATCTTGAGCGATAGCCAGCGAGGCTACTTGCCTCAGATACTCTCTTGTCATCTCCCTGCCGGCCTCTGCCAAGCACCACTGCATCTTCTCGATCTTGAAGCGACGGCCGACGGCATGGAGAGGCAAGCTGAGGGATGTGCAGCCACGTCGATGCTGAAGCACAAGTTCAAACTCTTCCGGGGAAGGAGCTTCTGCACGACGCACCTTCTCATTGTGCACTAAGCCCAGGATCTTCAAAGCTTCTCTGTGCTGATCGGTGTCTCCATGCTTCTTCAAGTTGCCAAGAAGCGTTGTTCGAACTTCGAAGTTAGCAAAACTTGATGATTGCTTCGCTGCTTCGCAGACAAGACATCCCAGGCCCCAGCCAGTCTTAGGAGAAACACGCGCCGCCAGCCAAGAGAACCCGGGAAAGTGCGTCACGGTGCATTGGCTTTCCAAGACCTCCTTGCGCGGCAACTTCACTATCACCTATATTTTACCTGACGGCTGAATAAAAGCCTGAATCACAAAATGCTTGCAGCGTTTCGGTCCTTCTTTCGGAGATAGAAGCATCGGGGACATGTGATAACATCAGAGCAGCTCGCCACGTGAGAGATGTCATCGTCGATCTGAGAACCAGCCTCTATGTCGCTGGCAACGGGCTCACTGTCACTGCCACCCCCAGTCTTGACACTGTCACACTCAGTCTTGATGCGCTTGGCATTGTGGAACCGGGACGACACATGGGCTGAGCTTTCAGTGGCCTCACGCTTGATCTCACTCCCAGAGGCATCGCCGCCGCCCCAGCTCCGGAAACCCAGCATGTTCCAGGCCAGCAGCAACAGTCGAGGCTTAAATTTAGGATTTCGGGCTTGCGATTTACTGCTTGACTGAATGTATAGGCTGAACACTCGGCACAAGTGCTTCTATGAACCGGCGCTCGGAGCAAAATGCTCGAGCCTCATAAAGTGTTGCGGCACGCAGGAGCAATTTCCTCATCCCAGACAACCCAGAGGCAGGATTCAGGGCCGAGGTTTCGCCCTGACAGTCGAACCCAGCTGTCACAAATCAAAGTGATCAATGGGCCTTGATTTGCGGGCTCCAAGCTCGAAACCCTGATGGTCACACCCTCCAAACCCTACAGTGGAAGACTAAAACCTGGAAACCCGATAGCCTCAGCCCTAAGAGTGAAGTTTAGGGAACCCCAGCATTATTTGTCCTTAAGTTTAACAAAGTTTCCAACTTTTTGGGGTTTGCCATAAAGCGTCTTGATCCACACACCCTGAAACATTTGGGGGTTTGGCAGTGTTTCTCAGCTTTTAATACGAGAGACCCGGTCCTGGCGATGTTTGGTTTGGCAGGCCGCCCGATGCTTTCAGCTGCATTCCGCCTCAGGCCGGGGGAGCCAGAAAGATCGAGACACGCGTGGGACTCAAAAAGAACTGTAGAGTTATCTATATCCTTCGGCGTCGTGTGGAGATGTCTTTTCCACTGCTATCGTTCGCATCTGAAGCCTCAGACCGCCACGTGTTGTCTCGAAAACCATGAGGTTGTCTCGCAAACCTGGGTTTTCGGGACGGATGGTTTTCGGAGACGCAGCCATGCTGCTGTCGCGAATACAAGTAATTACTGTGTAACCAGGAATACAAGGTGTTGCACGTCAGGCTGTGATTATGGACAGAACAGATGCAACACATAGCCACTGGCTGAGCTACTACAGGGACAACTGTGATGAATTCCACAAAAACCGTGGTCTCAGGCCGGGACATCCCGACTTTGAAGAGGTGCACACCGAAGCCGAAGCCTGAGTGGCAGAAAGTTCAGGTTGTTGTCACGCTGGCATGCAGGAGAGCTGTTCACATACGGTAGCACTGGAGTTAAGTTGACACTGTTCATGCGATGGCCTGTGTTTCAAGCTTCGGTCGCCCTATCATGTCATGAGAGTCCTCAATACCGTCACAGCCGGGAATGTGCGTGTTTCGGCCAAACACAACCCCTCAAGCAATTCATAGATGATAAATGATAAACCCATAGATCCCAGTGTTGATGCCCAGCTCCGTAGTTCTTAGAAATCCAGGGTAACATCATTAGGTGAAGCTTGTGCAGATTGCTATGCAACACAAAGTACTGAAGCCTACTGTACTAAGAATACCAGGTACTAGCACTCAGAATACGGGCAAGGCCTTGCCGAAAGTAGTCTGAAGAAAGCTATGGGGAAAGGCGGCCATGGGCGCAAAGGAGGCTATGGCAAATACGGTGGCTATGGTAAAGGAGGCTGCGGCGGCTACTATGATGGTGGGTATGGGTACAAAGGCAAGAAAGGCCTGGACGATTACTGGGACTATTGGGAGGATGATGATGAGTGGGAGCGCCAAAACCGGGGCTGGAGCCAGCAAAGGAGGCAGGACTGGCGACCGGAGTGGGTTCAGCTTCGGAACGAGGAGCGAGCAGCTCTGAGAAACGGCGAGGAGACTGCAGCTCAGCTCTTGAATGCACGGAACGAGGAAAGTTCCGCGCAGAGAAGCGGCGAGGAGATTGCGGCTCAGCTCCTGAATGCACGGAACGAGGAAAGTTCCGTGCAGAGACATGGCGAGGAGACGGCGGCTCAGCTCCTGAATGCACAGAACACGGAGGAGCAGAGTGAGCAGCGGAGGCGGACCACGAAGGGCAAGCTCTTTAAGGAGGAGAAGCAGATGAAAGCCGTCAAGGAGGAGCTGGCGGCTGCAGAGCTCATGAAAGAGGCTGCAGACTTCGCAAAGGAGGCTTTGCAGGAGGATCTACAGGCTGCAGAGCTCATGCAAAAGGGCTTGGAGACCGGCGAGTCCCGCGTGCAGGAGGAGCTTTTGGCTGCAGACTTCGCAAAGGAGGGTTTGCAGGAGGAGCTACAGGCTGCAGCCGTCACGAGGGAGGGTTTGGAGGAGGAGCTGAGGGCTGTGACTCAGCAGCTGCAGCGACTGCGAGTTTCCGCACCGGTTGGGGCCTCACCAGCTCGTCAGCTTGGCATTGAATTGGCATTGGGCTGATGACCCGAGGTCTCTCCGCCAGCTCCGGAGCTGCGAGGTTCCACTCCACCCATGCCGGCTGGGGCCTGATGCCATGTTGGTTGTGTGAGCATTCTATTGATGGAACCCATTCAATGACACTCAAGGCCTGGCCCATCCAGGGTGTGCAACTTCCTGCTGGGCTTCCTCCCTTCTTCGGTTTCACGCAGGCAAGACTGTCAGAGTTTGAAGCATTCTTTGAAGCATTGACCTGGTCATGTTGAAGGCACGTTCGGCTGCTATGGGCCCTTGCCCCTTCGGCGGAGTGCCGCAGGCAGGATTGTCGCAAAGTACTGCATGTTGGGATTGTTTGTCAAGTTGAAGGTGCCAAGCCCGATGATGCCTGGATGTGGCTTTGCCGTTCCTGGCTCAGAGGCAGGCGCCTACTTACGAAGTGGACATCGTCTCTCAGACGCTTCCAGGGACCGCGTCCAACGCAACCGAATCTGCAGCCACCCGCCCCTCCGCCACCGCCCGTACAAACCTCAGAAAAACTGACTACAGCAGCATCGCTGAAGCGGCTAGCGACAATCTTGACAAAGCTTGGATTTGCGAGGCCACAGGGCAGCTTCGGACCACTTTGGATGCTGGGCCCCCAGTACTCGTGCTTACTCCACTTTCTCTAGCATGATGCGCTTAGGCTGCTGCTGGGCCTATTGACAATCGACGACCAGTAACCCCGCCCAAGAAGGCCCGTGACCTTTGGCATTTCAAGCTCGAAGAGACGCCACCCTGGCCAGGCTGAGAGCAAACTCGTTCCCAAGTGGTCGAAGGCCACAGACTGAGCAGCAAACCTGTTGCCAGGAGGGTTGCCTGTTCGTTCGTGCAGGGCCATGGAAAGAGCAGCGCCGAGGAGATGCCGGCCAAGCACTCAGGGTGAAGTGTTCATGTTTTGACCAGGATGCTTTGATTGTAACACTAATTTCAGGCAGCTGAGATGTCTGATGACAGTGAGTCGCCGAAGGCTCGCAACGTTGACCCTTGAACGCATCAACCTCTTCGCTGCCACCATTTCCCGTTGTCTTAGGCCCCTCTGGTTCCTACTTCGGAGCGGGTGACTGATTCTGATCCCGACACGGGCGCCGGAAGCCCCAGTATCATTATTCGCAGGCTCAGCAGCCACGGATGTTCAGAATTCATAAGTATCAACAGGCTCCGATGCTGATGGCACCACGTGCACGTGATCGGGAAGCTCATCGACTTGCCGAGAGCTCATGTGACGGTATTAAGCGCTTGTTGTGTGGCACATCCAGCTGTCCAGGCTGTTGCGAAGACTGCTGCGGAGAGCATCAACATTTGGCATCGGGAGGAGCCCAAAGTCAGAAGCAGAAACTGGTGATTTGCGAACTAGCCGTGACGAAATGCAGGATGGCGAGCCGCCGAAGCAGAAGCCACGCAGGGACTGAAAGAAAAGGAAGCGGATTTGCTACGGGCACTGCGACAGTGCAGATCTGTGTGAGCTATTGTTGCAATGACTATGACAGTTTATGAATAGTAGCAGGAGCAGCAGGAGTAGTAGTAGTAGTAGTAGTAGCAGTAGTAGTAGTAGTAGTAGTAGGAATAGTCGTAGTAGTAGTAGTAGTAGTAGCAGTAGCAGTAGCAGTAGTAGTAGTAGTAGTAGTAGTAGTAGTAAAGTACTCTCAGCAGTAACCGTGGCTTAATAATAAACCTTACCTCCCGAGCCTCCGCAGACCGGTATCAATCCAGATTTGATCTTGAAATGCTCAGGCCAGAACCTGGCACGCATCGCCCGAGCTCCATGTCCTGCACGGAAGGAACACCGCGCAGGTGTGATTAGATGCTCGTACCGCTACTTTCAGGTTCAGGTCACGGGACATGATATCGGTGACATCGGTTGGTGATCTCGGGTGTAGAGTCTCAAGTTCACGGATTGTCGCTTCGGGATTAAGGGTTATTCTTGAAGGGTTTGGGGTTTGGAGCTCAGATTACTTGGGGTTTGACTGTTTATGTTCGACGCTTCTGAATCTGCACTACCACACAGTCTTTTTATGGTGGTGAACAAGGCTACTTGTTTCACACTTGAGTCCTAAGAATGCACTTCACTACCGAAGGCTTTCGGGCTCCAGGCTGCACGACTTTCATGGTTTAAAAGCTTCACCAGGACGGTCCTCGACGGCAATGCTATCACTTCGCCACTGTCCTGTGGAGGACTAGCCGAGCATCCGGTCTAGGCCAATGTGGGCTGCTAGGGTTTTAGGATTTAGGCATTGCCTTTGCACTTGTTCAGTGCTTTCCCAGAGCTGCTTATGTGTTTGCTTGCACCTTTTCAGTGCTCCTGCTTTATTGTTTGCACTTTTTCAGTGCTCCTTGGTTTGCACTTTTTCAGTGCTCCTTGGTTTGCACTTTTTCAGTGCTCCTTCGTTTGCACTTTTTCAGTGCTCCCTGTTTGCTTGCACTTTTTCAGTGCTCTTTGATTTGCACTTGTTCAGTGCTCCTTGTCTGTTTGCGTTTTTCCGTTGCTCCTGGGGTTGCACTTAGTCAGTGCTCTTTGGTTTGCACTTTTTCAGTGCTCCTTCTTATGTTTGTTGCACTTTTTCAGTGCTCTTTGTTTGTTTGCACTTGTTTCAGTGCTCCTTGTTATGTTTGTTTGCACTTTGCCAGTGCTCTTTGTTTGTTTGCACTTATTTCAGTGCTCTTTGATTGTTTGCACTTGGCTTTGCTGATGCACATTCTCAGTGTTTTGCAAGGGCTGCAGGGAGCGCTTGTTCAGAGCTCCACTGCTTGCACTAGTTCAGTGCATCATCTTCGCACTCTATCATGCG